TTTTTGAGGAACGATCATAGTTTCAAACCAAAAATCAAATATGGTTAGATGCGCAATAAAATTCTCTATCGAACCTGCTATTCAGCTTTTTGATACTTTCAAATTTTTAAATCCGGCAGGGTCCTTTCATATTTTTTATCACCATGTACAAATTCAATTTTATTCCCCCGTAAATCTTGTTCTTGAACTTCGAAAGTTTCATTGGTAAATCGAATCAAGTCCACACTCTCCTTCTCCGCAATAAGAGCTAATGGTCTCGTATAAAACGCGCTATTGGGAGTTTCGTTCTTCCACAAAAATTCTTCCGTCAGTGTGTTTGTCAACGAGAGAGGTACAAACATCTTTGCAAATATATTAGGATCATTCATAGGATTATCTAAAGATCGATAAACCGACTGACTCCCTGCTCCATCGTGCCCAGTTTTGTGCTTATAAGTTAATTTAGATGGTAAAATAATATTCATTTCAGTGAGCCTTTGTATTGATCGAGAGATTGTTAGTCCGACTGTGTCCTTTAAGCTTGCCACCATTATTCCCCGATTTTCTTGACACTGTGTAAGTCCGGGAACTAGTTTTTGCGAATGTTCTCGTATGATGCTTCTATTGGGAATGTGAATATATTCTTTCTGAAACGTTTTAATAAAATCCAGATCAGTTCGACTCATGTTTACGTGAATTTTCAGCGATAGGGCATGATCAACGTCTATCTTGAATCTTGTGCGTTCCTCCACGTTCCCCTCCTTGTATAGTTCGTCTCCAATTTCCGCAAGATGTTTATTCGGATTATAATTTCTTTGATATAGCAGGTAGCCAATAACTTGATTTACGGTTATATTATTATTTTGCGCGAATTCATCTAATTCAGAATTAAGATCGGTCAGCTTGTTCCGCTTCTGCCTGCTCCCCACTTCATTAAATTCTTTTGTAGGACGTTTCGGTGGTCTTGGCTTATCTGGAAACTCTCCCTTTAAAATAGCTGGAGCCAAGAATTTTTCTTTGGGGCGAGAGAGAGTGTGAGTTTTTCTCCAATCATCGAATTTTTCTTTGTGCTTTGTTGTGAAGTTTTTGATTTTTGTCTGAATGAAAGTGATGTTTCCTTCCGTAGCTGGTACACCAAAAAACTCAAAGATTCGTTCTTGTGCCTGCTCCATATTTCCATTGCATTTGATATGATAGATTGTGTACATGCTAAAATTAAATTTAGGATTTTGAAAATTGAAGCACGTATGGGTCACTAATTAATATTTTTCAATTGGTTCTAGAATGTTCAATTGTCGCCAATTCCCTTGTGTACAAGTGATAAAATTCTTACCGATCTTGCTGAAATGACTTCATCTCCCATTCATGCACCTAATTTATTTGAAATGGCAACAGATACACGAGTTGATGTACCATGCATCACTTCAAGTTTTGATAACTTATCTACTTGCTTCATCAATTGATGATATTGAAGATCAAATAATTTCAATGATACTGTCTAAACAATATTCAGGATTAGCTGCTGGAGCATTATGTCGTTTAGATGCAGAAGGCATTATAAAATTGCAGCCAATATATGCTTATATGGATGGAGATAAATATAAAACTGGTTATGGTTACTTAAAAATGGTGTCCGATAATAATGGATCAAATCGACGTTCATTAATGAGCAAACTGGCTGAGTATGGAATTACTGTAGTCAGTTATTTAGAATCTTTTATTGATCAATCAAAAATCTAGTTGGATCCATCTTGTAGCAAACCTTTTATATACACATTAACACGTGAAAATGACATAAGTGCAGCAACATTTTTCTTTTCACCTTATTTTAAAGAAATGATTGAATCATTTACGTTATACAATGAACGTTTACAAGTCGATCAATCAAGTATATTGTGCAATCCTCAAAATGACCGACCGATACACATGAGTAGTCAAGGTTTGCTCAATATATACAGTGAAGGACAAAAGTTTAAGTGAAATTAGTTTTTCACTATTTTTTTCAACATTTTTTTTCATATTATGAGGTGCGGGTCTGATTCAAATGGTGATATAGATGGTATGAGAGGCCAGCTACATGATGTATTATAGAACGAGACTCCGTCTACCTATATAGATTTTTTATAATTAAAATAATTTTTCCTATGCAAAAACAGGATTAAGCGCCTTTCAGTATTTCGCATTTCCTAATCAAGAGATTTATGCTAAAATGAAATAAAATTATATCAATCGATAGAGCATTTCATGCTCTATCAGTTTACAAAAAAGATTTTTTCCCAGAGTTGATTTTCATCTCCAAAACTTGGTTTTAGTGAGAATATACAGCAAAAACAGAAAAGGTGAAATAACTTTCCACAAACTCCCTCTTATCACGATGATTTATGCACCATTAGAAAGAGCATTCAAAACTGAACAAAATGCTATATTTGAAATTTGACTATCACCGACTTTTGGCACCCACCTTACTAAAATATAGTTTTGAGAAACACAACAAAGTTTTCTTTTTTAATTATTTTGGCTGGAGAAAATTGCTGACTATTCTCACTAAACTCAGGTTTTTGAGATGAAGATTAACTCTGGAAAAAATCTTTTTTTATAAACTGATAGAGTGTGAAATGCTCTATCGATTGATATAATTTTGTTTCATTTTAGCATAAATCTCTTGGTTAGGAAATGCGAAATACTGAAAGGCACTTAATCCTGTTTTTACATAGAAAAAAAATTATTTTAATTATAAAAAATCTATATAGGTAGACGGAGTCTCGTTCTATAATACATCATGTAGCTGGCCTCTCATACCATCTATATCACCATTTGAATCAGACCCGCACCTCATAATATGAAAAAAAAATGTTGAAAAAGAAATGTGAAAAAAATAGTGAAAAACTAATTTCACTTAAACTTTTGTCCTTCACTGTATTTTCCGTGACTACTTTAATAAATAACTCTATTTATAAATAAAAATCTTGTCCCATAGCTTTTATGGCGTTATGTTGATATTTTTTTAAGTAATCATAATTGAATATTGAACAAGTTGATATAAGACAAATGTCAAAATACTGAAGTATTATGAGATGTTAATTTCTATTATTTTCCTATTGTAGCTACAGATGCATTTCTTCATGAGCAACAACAACTGCGAAAAAAAAAATCAGACAAAATTGCAGCTAAGTTAGATGCATCGCCAATAGTGGATAGAAAACTTCGTTCAAATAGTCGTAGTAAAAGCAAGCATAAGACTGAATAATACTTTTTTTTTTCCATCGGTTTATTTGCCTTTTTGCCACTGTTTTTTTTCAGTCATCTCATTAGGTTGGTTAAATTATACAATCATTCATTTCCTTTTTTTGTCTCGAAAACTAACAGTCTAGCCATTTTTGATTGTCTGATACATTTTGCTTGTCTTTCTTGACTTATTTGTTGCTATTTTGTTTATCAACGTTATTTTTCGATGTTCTTTGTTATATATTATTATATTATATGTTTCACATGTTTATTTTCTTTGGCATACTTTTCTTTGTTCTGTTTGCGCTTATTTTGGTTCAGATGAAAACTATGATAGTTAACGCATATGTATTTACTATGTTTAACGTGTGATCGTTTTCATTCATTTCATAGTAGTTGTTTTTTACTTCATAATACGTGTGCTCAATGTTTGTTTTATATTTGTTTTCCCGTCTGCTATTGCTAAATAACCTTACACTTCATTTTGTGTGTAAGATAAAGCAAATGGTTCTTGAACAAGACGAATACATACATGTGAAATAAAATTAGATTGATAAGAGTTGAAAATATTGTTTTATTGTAATCAATGAAAAACTGAAATGATTTAAGAGGAAGCCATTTGAATGCATATTCGTAATATATCTTTAGGATTTGCATTTGTCTTACTGTCGATATGAATTTGATTTTCTTATGTATGTCTATTTTCTTTTCTTTTTTGAACTTGAAATGGCTACTGCTTTTGAAATTGATAATCTGTCGACGATGATTCAAGATCTTGGAATTGAAGCGTTCATGATACTGGCTCGGCTAGACGCTATCTTTCGACCTATACCAATGAATTCACGAACATTGCAGTGCTACGATAAAGTCAACATCTTTACTGGTATTCTCAATTTTCATCTTGCTCCAAAAACATTCGACGTAAAAGATATTGAGATGAATTTAAATTTAATCGAGTGTAATCGTTCACTTGTTGAACGTCTTCTGAATTTACCATCACTAAGCGACATGATTCGAAAATTCAAAGAACACGAAGCAAACTCATCTCAACAACTTAATATGATTAATCCCAAAGTCCTTATGCCATTCACTACCATCTGCATTCAATGCCACAAAAATTTAACTGATTATAGATTTGCTTACTCTACTCGAATACTTCACATCGATCGAATCGAGGATGCGTCTGTTATACATGCACAATGTAAGCAATGTCGTTTGAAATATAGCTGTTCGAGTGTTGAACAAAGTGGTATCAGTAAGTTTGTTTTTCATTATTTGTTGAATATTTGTTATAAAAAATGATCTTGGTTAGTTCTTCTACTTTTTTTAATCAATAAAATTTGTAGTTTTTCTCACATGTTTCCTCATTTATACTTGACTGAACCTTTCTGATAACTCATAGTAACATATTTTTTTATAAATTGCAGACTATCGTATTGTTAATGAAGAATCTCTCAATCATTCCGACTGCATTCATTTTTCCGGTGATTTGGCATATTCTAAAGTTCTACTCCATTGGCGTTCATCTCTTCTCATAGATGATGATTCCACATTCACAGGCTTTTCTCGTTCAATCATTAACACATTATATGAACTTTATCCACCTTCTGCCAATTTTATTACTCCAAATGCTTTATCACAACGATTTGAAGTGGTTTATATGTTATGGGAGTTAGCCAGGTTTGAGTTGATGATAGGCAATGAAAAACAAGTTTTCTTACCATTGTCACTAACATCGACATCGAGAGCAAGTTTCTTAGAAGGATTTTATGATTATTACTATTCATTATTTGTACTATTTTGGTCACGGCATCAACATATTTCTAATATTAAATGCAAAAGTGAAATATGTTCAAAAGTGGCACTGTGTGATGGACACCAAAAATGTGGTCGCATTGTATGCTCTTATTCAGATATAGTGGATACTTCGATTGCCGAGACCGGCCCAATCAACATTGGTTGTCCATACGCACCAATGCGTCGTCGTCAACATACAGAGAAACAGAAAGAGAACAACCAGAAACATGAGAAAGAAAATAAAAATAAGAATTTTTTTCAAATTTTTTTATTTATTTATTAAGATTAAGTAATAAAAGTTAACGTTGAAATAAACATTTGGTATTATATTGTTATTATTTGGTAGAATAGTGTATCTTCGTTGGAAAATTATTTGACAGCGTTAGATAGTGAGAAATGCTTACCTTTGAAATCTTTCACGCACGTTATGTATCATATCTCATAGTGAAAACCTTATCACTGAACCAGCATAAATATATACATAATATATTATTGATTAGTAAGACTTGAATCTACTCGATTAAAGCGATCCAAAAATGGACACTAATTACACATGCTATCCTAGCGATACATCAAGTTAGAGAGTTTCTTCGTAGTCAAAGACTAAAATGGCAAAATGCATTTTCAAGAAATTGTATGATTGTAGTACCTGGTGAAAGAAATATTAACTTATTCTTTTTTATTATTATTTTAAGGTCATTATCCATTGTATTGCCCAACCCATCAGTCGTTTGCCAACATGGCTTCTTTTCAACAGTCGAGTGCATCATATAAACTAGCCCGTGAACTAGATGAAGAAGACCACAATTTTCTTGATCAAAAGACGCAGTGCAATGTTTATCGTGATGATTTAGAAGATATTCACAAGAATAAAGGTTATGGTGTTCAAGTTACATTTCTTTCATGCCAAATAGTAATAGGATTTGATGAGTGTATTCGAGCAGAAGGCATGCGGCGGGCCACACGACACTTTCTTCGTATGTTGTATCGGAATGCTGAACTACCAAATAACCTCGTATATGACTCAGCTTGCACTCTACGTCTTCATTGGCAGCGACATATTAGAACAACATTTCTTCAGAACTCACGACACACAGACAAACTTATTAACATAACAGTTGTGATAGATCGGTTTCACCAGAAGAATCACAAGCGCGAAATCTGTCAACGAGAGATGAAAGCTGACTATCCAAGTCACAATGGAAAATTCGATGGGATTAACACAGAATTGTGTGAACAATATTTCAATTATTTATCTCGTTTAAAAGCATCACTTCGAAGCTTCAATTTTCCAGCATCGTTCATCTTCCTCCTTCTTTTATTTCATCTGAGAAATTGTTCAAAGAGTGGTATCTCCGCATCAAGGGTCGGTATTGGTAGATCAGTTATAACATCCGATCTCTTTCCGATTCGGAAACGAATGAACTGTTTATCGCAAACTGAATTCATGGAGGACAAAGACGTTCAAGATGTATGGGGTGTAACAAATGACTATATTTAAGTAAAAATGTGCTGATATATCAATTGTATAGGCTTTTAAAATGAATATTTTAATATCTGTTCCTTTATCTCAATTCGAAGCAAAAAAAAGAACGTAAAGATTAGGACGTTAGAAAAGGACGTAAAGATTCGGACGTAAAAAAGGGACGTAAAGATTCCGACGTAAAAAAGGGACGTAAAGATTCCGACGTAAAAAAGGGACGTAAAGATTCCGACGTAGAAACAGGGTGCAAAGAAGGACATTAAAAAGGAATCTACAATTTTGTACATTATATAAAGTGATATAAAGTAGCAGCTATATACATTCGGCGCATGGTCGTCTAAATCGACTTGTGAAAAAACAAATTTCGTTATCGATGCTTCAAATATACTGAAGTGTTTTTGATAAATTTAGGCGTAAAAATTTTAATATGCCACTAAAGTGTTATCGTTTTTTCGTCGCTTCCCCGGGAAACGATAAACCGGATGTACTCATTCAGTGGGTAAATTTTGTAAATACGCCTATTTTTTCTTAATGAAAAAGGATTAATAACTTAATATCCTATGCTCTCTCTATTACAATCGGTTCCTTAAAGAGTTGATTATAATCCTTTAATGCACGTAGAATTCTACTTATGTCTTATATAATCTCACACAATCAAAACATGTCATTTATTTTTAAAGATGACAACAAAAGAATAATTCTGCGTGCATTAAAGGATTATAATCAACTCTTTAATTAGCCGATTGAAATAAGCCGATTGAATAATGATGCGATGTATTTTCAGTTATAAAGAAGAGAATGAAATAATGTAGTAGAGTTTCCTAAAGTGCTATCTATCGCTCATGTCGTCGACAATTTCTAGTCTGAATCTTGTGGGTCAAATACTCAATGTATCGGCAAGTATTTTACTTTATATCAGCGGTCTGATAGGAAATGGTATGAACATAGTCATCTTTGCACAAAGATCACTTCGTCGATCACCGTGTTCATGGTATTTGCAAACAGCATCAATTTCTAATTTGATTTATTTACAAGTACTACTTGTTTATCGAGGTTTAGCACTCGGATTAAAAATCAATATTGGTACAACATCAAGTATTTGGTGTAAATTGCGATTTTTTTTATTGCAAGCCATACCATTAATATCAATGTCATGCATGTGTCTAACCATAATTGATAGGTATTTTTTATCAGCGCCGACCGCATATCGACGTCAGTTTAGCTCGAAAACATTTGCACGTCGTTCAATATTAATTATTACTATAATCTGGCTGTTGCACGGCATACCGTTACTATTTTATTACGATGTTTATGTGGTAAGTGGTCAATACATTTGTACGTGTTACCAGGTCGCATTCAACACATATGTATCGTATTTTCTTCTACCTGTCCTATATACTCTTTTGCCTCTAAGTATCATGTCGACGTTCGGCTTTCTAACATATAAAAATATTCGCTCAATCAGACAACGAATACGCCCAAATACCATCACGAAGCCATCTCGAAGATCTCGTGTTGATGCACCACTAACATCAATGTTGCTTATACAGGTGATCGTTGTTATGCTCTCTACAGTTCCATTCGGAGCAAGAAGTTTATACGGACTAATAACTGCTAATGATCAGAAGGATGGGTTGAGATCAGCATGGGAAACGTTCAGTTCAAATGTTACACAGCTGGCATGGTATATCAATTATGTATGTGGATTCTATGTGTTTATTCTCTCATCAAAGATGTTTCGATTGGAAGTCATACGTGTATTGAAAAGAATCGTGTATAATAATAATAATAATAATAATAGTACTGGAATTCGTAATCGAACACAAAATACTCCAATAGAGTTACGTTAAATTTTAGAAAACTTTAGACTTGCGAAAAAAATACTCTGTTGATTTCTAGATTTTTGCCTGTTCATATAATGTGCGTTGTTCTAACCGTGATATACTCTAGCATATTTACTGTACAAATTTTTAATAAATGTTTTATGTCAACAAAGATCCAAAGCTTTGTTAAATTCGTCTTCAGTAATGACCGAGCGCGTGGCGGTTGAGACAAACTGCTCTTAACAGTGAGTTTCTGTTGATATTAGACAATTAAGATGAAGTCAGAACTAGGATTTGATTGATGTTTTTGGCAATGATATCATAGACCTAGATTAGTTATTCCTATGACTGAAAGACGAATAAATTTCAAGCTTGAAATTCGTTGAATGTTTTGAATTAATTTAAACTAACTCGTGATTAAATACTAACTTGGGTTAATTTCGTATCAGACGTTTTGCAGCTTTTTATCGATAAACATTAATGTTTTCTCATATGAAATTTAATTCCAGTAATAATCTTTAATCTCAATTTAGTTTAAATAAATAACGTGAATCGCATCGATTCACTAAGCCCATCGTCTGTAAGTCGAATGAATTTACTGTCGGAATTATTATTCATTCTGCTGTAACTCGAACTTGTTACTACATAATTGATGGATATTTTTTACGATGAGAACGTCCATATTTTCCACCTTAGTTTACAGAAGCAGTTGCTACATTGATTTGTACACTTTGGAGGACGATTCTCTCCCGGAAAGTGGTGTGAATTTCAGCCTCCTATGATATTGTTGGAGTACACCGAGTGTAGTATCATGAGCCATGGTGACCAGATCTTTGAGGTTTGTATCAAAATTTAGAAAAGTAAGAAAATGAAAAAACCTGTGCCAATCTCCAATATTTGATTTAAACGTACATCATGCTAGTGTTTTAAAATGTTCCATTATATATGAATCGATGCAGAACTGCTTGCGCCAAAAAAATGAAGTAAGATTTATTTTGGTACCGTCAAATGCAGTGCCTGTATTTAAAAAGTACTGAGAAAAATGCAATTTTAAAAATATGGAATTTTTTAGTTTTTTGTTATTTAATTCCAGATAGTTAAACATATTACTATGTCTAAATACATGATCTTATAGAGTTAACATTCC